CCCCCCCCTTCCCCCCCCCCCCCCACCCTATCCTTTTTGACCAGTCCCTAAAAGTACGGTTTATTTTCTCTCGCCTCAAACGCCCAAGTGTAAAGGTCGCGCGCTTCGCACGCGTAAGACTCTTACGCCACCGAAAAACCGACTGTTTTGCAGTCTTTTGTTTTTCAGGCCCTCTACAACTTTGATCGGCGAAGATCATTTCCGTGAAATCAGGGACGGATAAGTCCTTTTCTAATTTCGGGACAGTTGTTCACTTTTACATGCAGAAAACTGTTATTTAGTCTCAACAAATTCTCTGTGACAATTTTTATTGTGAAATGACCACGAAGCAGCATGAATTGTAGGGGCGCCGGAAAAAATCTAAACGTGGAAAACTTGGGAAACGTAACTTGTATCAGAATTTGTTACCCTTGTAGCAGGAGCCCTGCCTTGCAGTCATACCAGAACAGGGCAAAAATACAAGATAAGCAAAGACTTATCTGAATAGTTAAAGTGAAGAGCTTTTATCCTTATTGAGTGAAACAGAATACAAAATTTTACCTCTTGGCCTCTAGAGCCTACTGTGCAGGGAGGGGGGGAGGGGTCGATAACGCACATCTCACAAACTGAAGGCTTTTCAAAATGCCTAATCAAATCAGAGCATGCGCAAGGGGTCAACTTTTTCTCATATAGGGGTGACCCTTCTGCGCGGGACAGGTTTTCCTCATATTAACGGGGCCTTTTTCAATTAAGTTGCAAAAAATGGGAACATTAACAATGTTATATGACTCAAATTCTACTTCTAAAACGAGAATAAAGACAGTGTCATGAAAGAGTCATCCCATGATCTGTAATGAGGTGTTCCGTATTGATTGATTACGATTTCATGAGGCGATAACAAACAAAATTCATACATTAAAGTTCATTTTATTCTTCTGGGCAAGATTTTAATTTCATACAGCAAGATCCAGCCCGTTAGGCCACGTTTCGAAATTATACTATAAGTACAGAATGCAGCATCAGATCATAAATTTTTATGAAACGTACAGTACAACCGATCAGTTACGAACAATCAGTAGTTATCAAAGGCAGCGTGCTTAACACCTCACTGCACCTACTCATAATGCTCATACGAGGATTGTACCAAAATGCCAGCTTCTTACATGTAAAACCAGCCCTTACCGGACCAATAAAAAGGCCAACTTTGGATCAAAATATATCTGAGGTATTAAAGGGGCTGGTGACAGTTTTACCGTGAGGGGAGTCCAGCATGAGAGATTGTCGAGAGATTCACATAGTACTGCAAAACTAGCGGTGCGCAGTTTTTCGTGCAAAGGTTAGTTTCAAACCTGTTTAAAATATACTGTAATTTCCGTTTACCAAATTCCTCACTTTTTTTTAATTCCAAATTCACGAGTTGTGGCACCTAAAATGTAGGACTGTATAATCCTCGAAAGATAAGTTGTTGTGGCTACTGCTAATTTTCACACAAGTACTACTGCTATTGCCTAAGCCAGCTTTTTGTACGGTCCTTTCAAAGGTCCTTAGGAAAATAAATTTCAAAATCCCAAAATGGGTATCACCCCCTTAAGTGCAATTTAAAGTGACCAATCCACACAATCTCACTTAATTGTCATTTACATATACATTTCTAGGTCAAAATCTGTTAACTGTTTTAACATAGAAGTGTAAGAAAATGTTAACAAAATAAAAAATATAAACAAAATGACAAATAGAACAAATTTATAATATTCATTAAGCAGGATTACAGGACACTTTTAACAAGGAAATGTCTCTACCCCTACGAGGTAAGGTCATGGAATGATTGGGTGTGGGGTGCGAGTAATTTGTGGAAAACAAGCTTTTTACCCCTTAATAGGTCATAACCCGGAACAAATGGCACTACAGTAAATTACTGAATTGGTTGTATTTCGTTTTGGTTTAAATAGGTTTATCCCTTTTTGGGTGTTTGTTTTGTTTTTTATTGTTTGGTTTGGTTTTGTTTTGTTTTTTTTAATAATTTCTCCACACTTCTTAATAAGACGCAGCAAAATTACGAGACAAGTTGCATGCAAGAAAAATTGCCTTTTTTTTCTTTTTTTTTTGTTTGGTTTTCGCTTTCTTTTGTTTTTTCTTTTTACGCGTCAGTAAAACGCCGTCTGGGGTCGAGATCCATTGTTCTTTTGCTTCATTTTCTCTGTTTAAATACTCCCAACCTTCTGGCGTTTACTAATTGTTTTGTTCGTTTGTTTTTATATAAAGGTGTAACTTGAACAATGTCAAACCAACGATTTGTGCACACGTTGTTGATGGACCACAAGTATGGACCACCAGTATACATGTAGATTGAGAGGCGAGTTGCATAAGTTGATGGTTAAAATTCTAATACCTGGGTCAGTAGATATCAAAGTGATGACTTTTCTCTCTAGATCATTCAATTATCCTTAATTATGAACAGTTTCAATGTGTTATCAGGGGCGGATCCAGCAGGGGGTGCACCACTAAGGAACGGCGTAACTGACTGGTGATGTAAACAAATTTTGATACAAAACACCAGTTGTATTTCATAGAAAGCTGTAGGTCATCTAATGGAGGGGAGGGGTGGTGGTTCGCCTTCTCATACACCCTCCCTCTTGATCTGCCCCTGGTTATGTTATAAACAGTTTCAAATTGAAGCATTTTGGTTTCCAATGAAATAATACTATCTATTGTCCTGAAACTTTATATATACATGAACAGGTTGTAACTTGGAATTTGCCAATACTTGACGTGTAAATATCAAGAGCATGCTCATGCAGTACGTTCGAACTTATAACATACACTTTTACTTTTTCGAAACTCTACTTCCATTTAAAAAAAGCCTTTATTTCGTAGCCTATTGAAAATATTTTAGTCCGAATTTCTGTTCCAGAGCAATTTGATGGATGCAAAAATTACAACCAATACCACTACAGTCACCGCTAAAACAAGGATTTCCCAAGGTACATGCATCTGAGTTTTTCTTGCCTGCAAACCTGAAAAATAAGCAACATAACGCCATTGGTGCTGATGGCAAAGTTGCATGCGACCCGGGAATTTAAATTGAAATAATCAACAGCTGTAAATGCTGTGCTTCTTTTTACATGCGTCAGGGGAAAAAAGTTAAACTAACAAGATGACTAAAAATTCGAATACTACGTGATCGAGATACCTGTCGTAGGTGTTGGGGGTATTTTTGGAGAGGGCAATCCTGTAAGAACGTGTTGCGGGTGCTCTTCATTGATGCCTTGGGTAGAAACAGTATTTGCTTCGGCAGTAGTATTTATTTCTGTGGAATAAACAAAAATGACAGTGAAAAGTATGAAAGGGATGCACTTATGTGCAATCACTCCAAAAATGAAATAATTGACACCCATTGATATTATGGATTTGCTAGAGTAAGGGTTGTCATGCTAGGACTTGGTTGCTTTGCTAGCCTGTATGTACACAGATGTTGTTTTATTTTTTTTTTCAATAATCAGTGAGTAAGCGAGAAAGAAATTTGCCCCATGTAAGGGAATCCAAGACAGTCTTGGATTCTGGATTCCACGCTGTTGATTCAGGATTCCATAATTACTGGATTGCACATCTTTTTTCAGTGAAACTTTGATTCTGCATTCCAATTGTTAGTGGGACTTCGGATTCCTATAGCTGTATTTCGGATTCCAAAGCCTAGGGTCCGGATCCCACAAGCAAAAATTTCCAAGATTCCGGAATCCAGATTCCCTTACATGGAGAGAAACTAAAATATTCTTCTCTCCCCCCCCCCCCCCCCCCCCCCCCTACTCCTAACCCCTTCTTTTTCTACACTGTTTTTTTTTTTTATCTGTTTCCTACTAGGACTTTTATGAAAAAAAAGAGGTGTTTGTAAAGGGCTGGCTTTTTGTCAGGGGGGTGGAGTCGGGGGTGGGGGGTGCAGGGGGCAAAATTGTTGTTGGTGTATTCGTTTTGGTGGCGGAGTGAGATCCCCCCCCCCCCCCCCCTCCCCTCCCCTTGCACTAGCGGTCATTTAATTGCATACTGTTTTTATTTTTATCATGTGTGCTCAGTGGACTTTTAAGAGAAAACAGAGGTCTGTGAACAGGCTATCGCTTTGCCAAGTGGGGTGGCATGGGAGGTGGGGGCAATGAGGGGTAAAATTGTTGTCATTGCATTCTTTGTTGGGACAGTTGTAGACTAGTGACTTTATTTGAGTAGGACATCACAGTTTTCACAACATTTATACCAATGACCCAATAGCATGCTTGGGTTAATATGGTAAATATGCAAAGAACCTCGCCAAGATTCAGGTCAGAGGAATATTTCGTTTACAAATATCTGAAGAAATGTTTTGCCAATATTTAATGCCACTCAATTATTATTAAACCTCTATTTCATAATTATACGAGACATCCAAAGAAATGTTTTGCCAATATTTTATGTGACTTAATTATTATTAAACATAGGTTTCTTATTCAAATTATATTTATACTGAAACTCACTTACCTATGCTAAATGACAGAGGCTCTGGATCCTCTGGTGGCATTCTTCCATTAATGTAATACCGGACTACATAACGCCCTTGAATATAAGCTGATGATCCACTTTTAAATATTATCTGGAAGTAGCTTCCATTTGTGAACAGCATTTGGAAATGCTTCTTGTTCTTTTCTTTGTCTTTTTTATTTCCGGGGTTTACATATATTGTCTCATTGTTCTTGAGCAGTGCCAAGATCTTATTGCCATCTTTAAACAGTGCCAGCTCATAGTCTGCATTCATCCTTTTGGCTACAATTTGGAATGTCTGATTTACATTCACTGAAGAAAAATTGAAAGGAAAAAATAATTATTATATGTAACAATTTACAACAAATAATACATAATCCTTTCTAATTAAGGTAAAACCAATATTTCTGTACAAACTGTACATGACTATAGATTCACTACAGTAATATTTCCAAGGCAGTACTCTAGCAGTGCACCATGGCCCCTGCAACTCCTGTACCTATTAACTCTTGCTCCTGGGCCACAAGAATCAATCTTAGTTTTGTCATTGTGGATTTCACAGATTCAGAGAACTAGCCCTAATTTAATTCCTAGGACACAATCAATATTAATTAAACTGAAATTCTGGTTCAACCTGATAATGCATGGTACACTATAATCTCTATTATTAAATGTACAGGTGGCCTGGTGTGTGTCAATAATTTATATATTCTGTAAACACACAATCTGTGTTACTGTGCATGCACATATACAATGAATATATTTAAGTACTACATGTAGATCAGTAATGTACCAGGAACAGGAAACTTGGTATTTAACTCAATGATCCTGCTGACAAAAAATTAATCAGCAGACACCTTTAAACTTAATTGACACAACAAAAAGACATAAAATTATTTTTAACCCATTCGCCCCTGGAGATTTTGCCGAAAAATGCGTTTTGAAGCTACCGCTGTAGTGGAGCGGTTTTCTGGTCACTGTTGTGTTATTAAGAGCTACAACTTGCCCAAAGTCATTTACAGGTCGTACAACACTTTGCGGCCTTCTGATTCAGATGAAAAACATTAGCTTGCGAAGTTCGGGCATGCGCAGAAAGCAAAATTTGACTTTTTGGGTTTAAAAGTGACACAGCAGGCCTCGCAATTGGTCTACTTTTACTTTTCGCTTTTTACTGTCCTCCCTCTTTTTTCACTTTTCTTGCCTCATTTTTTTTTCTTTTGCTGGGCATTTAGTTTAAGGCTTTATTTTGGCGGGAAAAGTTTTTATGAAAGGTTTTAGGATCTTAGGATTAGATAAAAGGAAAGTTTTAGGTGGGTAGATAGTACAGGAACAAGATTTTCATGGCAATTTTCGGTCAACGTTACATGATTTTTTGCCTTTTTCTCTGTTGTCCTTGACTGAATTGTGCTGATTCTGGTATGGTTTGAAAGATCCCAGCTTCACTATGCACATGTTAGCGGACAAAGTTGTCCCATTAAAACTGATGTCACAAGCAGTAGAAGGGACGTGGATCCATGCGGGTGGTTATGGGTGGTTCATGATCATGATCAGGGGTGAATACATGTTGGTTAATAGATTAAAGATACTGTTAATAAAGAAAAATAACTTCTTTGATGCAAACTGGTTATTAAATGTCATTGTCACAGCTCAGTGTCAGTCAGTGATCAGAGTCAAAGTCACTGATGCTTTCAATATCAGACAAGGCCTGGGTTCAGCTGAGGTGGTAGCATCTGGATTAATTACCTCATTAACAAACCTAACTTCAGAGAATCGCTTATCTGACTTGACTGTTTCATGCAAAACTAGCTTCACCTCTCTCCTTGATAAACTTACTAATGTTGCATTTAAAATTATTAATGTCTTCCTTCCCAATAGTCACATCCATGCTATATAATTTTATCAAGGTAGACTCTCGGACCACTTTTTGCATAATAAAGCCCTTAATCCGTGGATACCAAAACAGTACTTCAACTTTATTAAAGCTTGTCTACTTCAGATTTCAAGAGAGAATGAAATAACTTTCCTTGGTCGATACAATAGTTTTGAAAGGTTAGCAATTCACAGAGAAATCCATCTTCAACATCAAAACCACTTTAAGCTGACTGAAACCTTTTAGTAATACACAACTGTACACACTTTACCTCGATCGTGCCACCCTTGGGGGATAACAAGATCGGCTTCATTAAAGGTTAAGCAATATTTAAAGACTGCTTAGAACAAACTCCTCAAAAAAGACATTGATGAGTGTGTTAATTGGCATAATTGCGAATTTTAAACAACGCCTCGAAACATGCGGGTATCCTAAACAAGATATAGAAAGGGACTTGTCAGAGGTCAACTTTGACCATGCAAAGATAACTGGTGCTAAAACAAAAGCAAAAAAGTAAAGAGAGAATATTGCCTAGCTCTTGTTACAACATTCACCCAGCAGTACAAGATCTTAAAAGACATTGATGGCAATTAACTGGAGTCTTATAGAAAATCAGCCTCTGCTGAAAACTATTATTTTTGAAAGACCTCCAATCACATCCTACAAAAGAGGTAAAATAAATCTCTGAAAGACATGCTTGTAAGAGCAAAAATGTAACTCAAAGGCATTTGATAATGCATCGCAACCACAAAAAAACACATTGGGAGTCCATGCAGGTCTTTCTTTAACTTCCTTCCAATTGTTTTTTTGTTGTTGTTGTTAATTGTTGTTTCTAATGCTGGAATTTGGGGATGCAAGTAACTTGGATGAAAATGACTCAAAACACAGTGAAAGTGAAGAGGAAGGTGATTTGCCAGTGTAGGAGACAGGCTAAACTGTTACAGTAGAAGAGTGGGTAATTGGAGGTTTCGTCATACTAGCTAAAAGATGTGTGTGAAGGACCATGGTGTTGTTACACAATCTTATGCCTACAATCCATGTTAGGAGGAGGTGGTTAAGGGGGGGGGGGGATGCTCACTATGAATATTTAAATTCTTCTTAGGGGAGGGTAACATCTTTTAACCAAAAATATAAAGGGAGGGTCACAATGATTTACATTTTACATTCACGCTCAAAGTGATTCCTCCAGCCCACCTCCCCCCATCTCCCTCTTCTAAGAAATGAATGCGGCCTAATAGTGCTGCTAGTGACCAAAAAAAGGCTCATTCGGCTCCAGAATTTTCAGCAGAATTTCTGGGGTGGAATGGGTTGAGATTGACACGTACATTGTACATGCATATGAATTAAGCAAACTGAATCATGTAAAATAACAGTATGTAATAAATTTCACATGTACCAATAAATGTCTGAATACTGGCATTGTTGCTGTTAGGTGGAGGTGTTCTGGCTCTATCATACCCCGAGTAGCCTGCAAGAAAATGAAATTAATGAAAAGCAAGTTGTATTTTTTAAAAAAACAAATACTGTTCTTTTAGCTGGACCCTTATTATAAAATAATGTGACAGGACAAGCTTTTACACAAGAATACTATTTAAACATATTTACTTGAACTTTTGTTTGTTTGTTTGTTTATCCTACTACAAGTATATGCTTAAAGTAATGCTTGACCGAGCTAGGCTAAGGTTTTTTATTACTCCCTAAATGTTAACCCTAAGAGGGTAGAAACATTAGTCACGTCAAATTTAACAAATGATAGACACCTACATATTTATTATGTATTATTATTCATTCAAAATACTTCCCCAATTCTGATTGGCTAAAAGCACATGTTTAATTCACCATAACCAGTTTATAAACTGATGACCAAATTTGGGAGGAATTTTGACTTTAACGAGGAAATGATGCTTAAAATGCAGCGTTTTCGCAGGTTAAGGCACCGTTAACTGAGAAGACCTGGGGACGAGGTTGAGTTGTTTTGGTTGTGAACTTAAAAAAATGGCAGACATTTCACTCATTTCAAGAGTAAGAACTAGGCAAAAAAATAGCTAAAAATACGGCAAGAACAGCAAGAAGACAACTCGAAGGGCGACATCTGCTATTTGGAGAATATTTGCGGAGCTGGACAAACCTAAACGTACACTATCGAAGATGAACTGAACATTGATGGATCAATGGAGGTAAGCATGTTTTAGCTATGTTTTTAAACTTGGAATTATTTTGAATGAATAATAAAACAGTTATTGAATTCGGCTTTCGTATCATATGAAGAATTATGGAGATTTCGGAGGGTGTTATCCACCCTCCTCGATCTCCATAATTCTTCATAATAAAAAGATACTCAGCCTCATTCATTAACTGTTTAATAATTATTAATAGAAATAATTCAGCACCTTACATGTAACAGTAAGTTACTGAATACATGTAAGTAGAGTCTTTATTAAGTAAGTAAACGGTTTAATAACAGCTAGAGTTTCCACATTGAGGCTCTCCATCTGTTGCTAACCAAAAAATAAGAATATGTATCAAATATTTGCAATACAAATATATAAAAAAGTTAACTTGATATCAGCTGATCTTGATGCAGAACTGTTGTTAGAGTGCTCATTATAAGCTGTTCAAGTGTTCAAGGACTAGAGCGAGAATGCCAGTTCCAAAGTACAATGTTTTATCAACTGAAGATTTTTTTGACTAGGCATTTTATTACTACAAGGTTTTGTACTACACAATGGTGTACACTTGCACTCTTCAGATAATATATAGACTATATACAGGTTGTATGGTAGATTATTAAAAACAGTACGGTGATTTTAACTGAAATTTTGAGATGTGGTTACTATAGATATGTTGTGGTTCAATTTTATCTTTAGTTCAAATTTTCTTTTCTTTTGTTTCAAACTCTTTATTATAATTATTATTATCATACATTACCATACCCAAAAACAAACAAATACAAAGTTTGAACTAAGGATAAAATTGAACCACAACAGATACGATTATGTTTTTATGGGTTCTATTGTGTAGTCAAGCCTAGATAATACAAGCAACTCAGCAAGTCTCTTACTCTACAATGGTGGAAGTCTGTAAAATGTTTTAAGTTTGGCAATGTGTGGAAGACTTGACCCATAAGATTAAAGAAGCATAATTAGCAATGTTCTTGATATGATCATTCCATTTTAAGTTCTCTTGGAATTTCATTCCCAGCAGTCTTGTTTCACTGGCTCTTTCCAGTTGACGATTCAAAATTGCTAAGTTAAGGTTTTGACATATTTTGAGACCATGAAAGCTACCCATCGGGCTTATTAATAACAGCATTGACTAAGTTTTCACTGGATTTAGAGCGAGATTAGACTTATAAAGTCCACAAAGCCATATGGATGAGAAACTATTAAAGTGAGCAACATCAT